CAAAACAAAAATGACTGTTTTATTTCTATAAGGGAAAACAGAAAAAAAGGGAAAGTTATCTGTGGCTTACTGTAACCAAGGGCAAGAGTCCACTTATTATTATATGGCAACGTAGGTAAGCTCCATTTAACTATGTTTCCAATGCTCATGAAAAGGTCTGGAATCCCATCAGTACACAATTTAGCAGATTCAGAAATAGAAGAGGCTGAAACAATCTAGGACACTCCCAAACCATTGATATTATTCTTGCATTAACACACATGCTGCTGACAGGATTAGCAAATAGTCTGCAGATTATATAAGCACTCAATGAAGCAATTACAGCATCTTAGTAGGACATGCAGAATGTAAAACTATTTGTAGATGTAAAAGGAGTAAGAATGAACCCAAGACATAATATGAAAACAGTATAAGAGCAAATTGACCTCAAATTAACAGCAACACAGAATCATGAAAATGGGGCCTCATTTTGACTTGAGGTTTTGTGAGATACAAGGCTAGCTGTTTCTAGCCAGCTCATGGAAAGCATTCATGTCCTCAAATACGATGTTTCTAATGGTGAACCCACATTTCTATTCATAAACAATTGTATTTGTCCTTAATCTCCTTTCCCCAGGGAGAATATCACAGATTCAGGTATTTATGGGAAGAAAAAAAAAGTCTTATATAGAGTTTCAACTCTTTTTACACTATTGGTTATTATCAATAACTCATCCTGAAGTTTAAAATTATTACTAGGATCATGCACTAACCCCTAACATGGCACTATAATATGCTACCAAGCACTAATGCTTACAAAACTATACACATCTCAAAATGGAAGACATTGGTGATTTTGTTGTTCTTAAACAACTTGTAACATTTGTCCACAAGTATTAAAATATACATATATATATTTCTATTGCACATATCCCATTTTTGTTTGACTTTTCAAAGGATAAACTGCCAGCTAACATGGATGAGCAAAGCAAAGGAAGCACAAATGCAGATTGAAGCATTTCTAAAATTAAGTTTTTGCCATCAAGAAAGGGACCAACAGACCAGAGAAAAATGCAAATGTATTAAGTAAATACTGGGCAACTACAACTGGAATATGCCCATGTTGTTAAACGTTATCTAATGTCAATCATGTAAGATGTGGAAACATTTCCTTTGAAAGATATCATTAACACTGGTTCTCAGTTATAAGTTGAAAAAATGCTGAAGGAGGCAGGTCTGACACCTGTTCAAACAAGTGGATCAGAGTTGTTCCACTGGTGCTTATATCCCTTGCCCCATGACCCTACCCAAAAAGTTGCCAAGAAGACATGGGGGAGATGGATATGACACCTAGAAGGTACAAATTCTCCATGATGACATTCCCAACATAACAGTGGGATATATGTATATAGGCTTTCAGTCTTTAACAAGTCCAAAATAGTAAAGGAAAATATCAAGAAGTGGCATAAGGGGTTATTTAAAGAAAAATCTAAGTTACCTTTAACCAAAGTTATTTCTCTTATCTCTCTCAGTAAATGCTCTACATTAAAAGAAATTTTTTAAAAATTATATATATATATTTTATCTACACTATGTATTTTGTGAAAAAGCTTTTTTATTCTAAATCAAATTAGTTCACCAATCTAATCATAACAATGCTCAACATTTCCCATTTTGGCAATTTCTATCACTCTCAATTTTTGGTAAATCTGCCCTGTGTTCCCAACATCATCGCACCCATGGCCCTCAGCAACCATTCCAGAAAACAAAGATGATCTAATTATACTACCTGTTCTTAATTTCATCTAGTAAGTTTAAAATTCTTTCTCTACTAAGAATCATTAATAAAGTGTCCATGCTTCTTATGAAAGGCTTGATATCATACAATGCTCCTGTTTGTTTGAAAGCAAGAACAGTTTTCCACTCTAGTCTTCATCATATAACTGTTAAAGGGGAAAAAAAGAAGGAAGATCCATATTTCTTGTTTTTGTTTTCTTTTTCCCCAAACCCTGAATTTCTTCTCAATCTATAATGAACGAAACACAAAATCCACATTTCTTAGTGGAACTATTTTTCTTATTTGAGGTTTTTTTTTCAGATCCTAAATTTCTTCTAAATCTACAATGAAACAACCAGTGGATTGACAACATTGGTTCTGAGATAGACCCACTCGGTAACGAGAAAGTCCAATTCCAACTGGGGAAATTTACCTGAGTCCCAGCTTTTTCAGTTTAACATTACACCTACCACCTAGAAAAATAAATCCAAGTACCCATCTGGGTTGAGAAAAGAGTTACTTGTGACTTTATAAAAAATGGAACTATGTAATGTAAAATTCCAAAAAAGTCAAATGGTGCTACATAAGACATTTTTCTTTTTCTTAGGAAAAAGGAGTTATATGGAAACTTCTCATTATCTTTTTCTTCTCTTCTATGTCCAAAGTTCAAAGCAGGTCATACTATAGGGTCCATCTCACCTTCTTATCTAAAAAACTACTCGTGCTACTTTTCTTCCAGTTTTGGCCACACGGAAAACTAACTCTACTGTGCTATATGACTCCAGAAAACAGGATGAATAAAACTGTAATACAGCAGCCTCTCATCTTAGGAAGGTGAACAGGGTTCCATCATGGACTCAAACTGGGTTGTTCGCTTTTACCATTCTTTTAACTAAATGTAAGCATGCACTCACTTAGCTGCTACACAATCTGGTCCTTCTGTAGAAGAATGAAAAAATTTAAAAAGAGCAAATGTTCCAAGACTTGAAAAAGTAAATAACAGGTTCTGTCTCCAGGAGAAAAACCCCTCCTTTCATCCAAAAATGTGGATTTACACATGTAAAAATATGTATTTGTACAGATTCTCTTTAGGTATCAGATATGAAATCAATCTTGATATCTTGTCTTTATGCTTCTTTATCATACCAAAGGGTTAACTGCAAAACTGGACCTTCATTTCTATCCAGTAAATCTGTCACAAGATGAACCAGGATATAGAGATATATGTAACTTTTTAACATCTTTTTCTTTTCAAATTACAACAAATATTTGGAATTTACTGCTGCAGTCTCAAATGTGCTTATCATAATAGTGGCCGAAACTGGAAGACATTTTTTTAAAAAACCTGAAGTCATCCAAACTTGCCATTTATTAGTCTTCTTGTTTGGAGCAAAAGGCTAAGAATTCACAAATACCACAACCTAAGCACCTGTTTCAAATTAAACGTCAGCCTTCAGCTTGCAAAATAATTTTTTGATAATTAAGCAAATTGCAGAAGACCCATCAATTGCTTTTTTTCTTCCGGGAGAAGTCAGCAGGATAACTGCACCCTAAGGGCTTCTTTCTGTGTTGAATTTGAAAGGTGGAACAAAAGAAAAGCAATCTTTTCCAATCTAAACCATGGAGGTAATGTGTAGAAAGGTATCCATATTTCAGTAGGGAAAGAGGCTGGATAAAAGAAGCAGGACTACCCGCTCTAGAAGACAACATAGAAATACCGGCCACATCCTGAGTTCAGAATTTTGTTTTGAGATGAATAAAAAGCACCTAAATGTAAGGAAAGTGTTCATCCTGTGTGACAAGAATTCTCACATGGTCCATCAGACGCAGTCGGCTTCCCGGGGGCCTGCACGCCCCCGGCCCAGAGGCCAAACGGCCAAATGGCCGAGGCGCTCCTCACTCCGCCATCTTCGCTTCTTCCAAGGTCTTTGTTTTTATGTGGTGCTGAGGATCGAACCTAGGCTGCACGCATGCCAGGTGAGTGCACTACTGCTTGAGCCACATCCCCAGCCTGGATTTACTCTATTAAAAGTTTTCTTTGTCCAGTAAAGAACTGGGATCACATTGAAACTTTCCCCACACTATCTTATTGGCCGTTGAAGTTTACCATATGGCTTCTTTGAAGAATGACCAGCACATTATCAATGCTTGATTCATTCATGATTTTATACTTATTTATAGATCCTAGGCTTACATTACTACCAACATCAGGTAAAGGCTAGGTTTCCTGATATGTTTAAATTGCCTGAAAATCAAGAGATTGAAAGGAAACAATCCTTTGCAATGCAGCCTCTCTATGGTGATTATCCAAATAGTGATATTCACATGCAATTTCATATATTTTTGGCATGTCAAGTACTTTGAAAAGACTGAATATCTGTTACAGCTAAGTATATATTTCTGGGAAAAATATTATAAGAATAAATACTTCTCAAATTGTGCATACTTCTTTGGTTGGTCTGTTTTAAAAATTATATGACATTCTCAGATTCCCTCAAGAATTTCTCTTGTGAGCACAATTACCTTAGAATGCTCTCAGCCTTCACAGGAGGGAAAGATGAGTGAAAACAGGTGTCTTGGATACAGATCACATAATGATCCAGGCAAACTGAAATCCAGGTGGCCAAAGGCACTACATCCTCAATTTTGTAGACAAAACTCCATTTAGTATACATTCAAATGTGAAACACTAAAATACTTTTAATGAGCTCACAAGAAATTTCATGATATTTATTTATTTGTGGTTAGAAATATTTAGAGAAAAATAAGTAGGGATTGAACATAGGGCACTTAATGACTGAGCCACATCCCCACCACATATGCCATTTTGACACAGTACTCAATAACTTGCTCAGGACCTTGTGAGAGGCTGAGGCCAGCATTGAAATTTATGATTCTCCTGCCACAGCCTCCCCAGCTAAGGAGAATACAGTCATGCACCATTGCACCTGTGGAAATTTAGTTTTGCAAAAGAGCAAGTTATACAATTCTATACTGATGAGAATAAGGGAAAAATTAAAAACTCATAGCAAAATGACAACAGGGAGCCTGGAACCATCTCAGTACTGCCAAGAAGTAGAACAGAAATGGAAACACAAGCAGAACCACCAGAACAATGTCATCATGCCCCAAAGCCCTGAAAGGTTCCCAACAGGTACATGAAGCAGACATAGAAGAATGCAGAGCAGCAAGCATGGTGTGACCTTCACTAGCCCTTCAGGCTGACCCTCTCTGATGCAGGACACTGGCCTGAAATCTCAGTGTGAGAGCCTGGTCACTGGCTCCAGACCACATGCAGCACATCTTATCCAAGTTTAGGCAATTCCTACTAATATCACCATGGAAATATCTTAATGTCTTAACACCAACTCTCACTCATCTACATCAGAAGTGATCACTGTGAAAAATCAGCAGGAATTCCTTAGAAGGATTCAAGTAAACAAACAACCTGTGTCTGGCAAGAACAGCAAATTATTGTCTACCCACAACCACCACCTAAAATTTGATCAAGAAATCTTCAGAGAGTTTCTTTTAGAAACCAGGTTTCAAAAACACCCAGGTTCAGGAGGCTGAGGCAGGAGGCTGGCAAGTTCAATGCCAGCCTTAGCACTTATTTAGGCCCTTAGGAAGTTGGCAAAAGCCTGAATCAAAGTTAACAAAAAAAGTTAAGGGGAAAGGTGCTGGGGATTTTGTTCAGTGGTTAAGCACCTGAGGGTTCACTGCACAGTATGCTCCCCCAAATAAAACCACTGAGATTTCTGAGGAAAGAAGGAAGCTCACAGACTAGGAGGAAACCATTCAGAGAGGCCTATGACACTCATGCTCAGCAGTGGTTGCTCACAGGCTGGGTTCTGTAGAGCAAAGGCACAGCAGAGCTTTAGATAGCACCACTGTGTGTTAAAGGAGAGGACCCAGCACAACTACCAACAAAAACCAGACAAGTGAGGTTTTGCTGTTTCTACTCTTCTTCTCTAGTTTCTGGTGTATGGAGAAATGAGGCCAGGGGACACTGAGATCTAGCAGCAATACTTTATTGGTGGCACCACAGCCCAGAAAAATAATTTCCAAAGCCTGAGCCCTGAGTACAGCAGGGCTTTTACTTTTATACATAAAAACTTTTGAGGCCATCCAGGCAAGGGAGCTGGGGCAATACATTGGAGGGAGAATTTTATATTTCTTATGTGAAAATAAGCTTGTCAATGGCCTAAAGACTCAGCTCAGACATATTAGGGACTTTTACTATGCTCAACCTGAAGAGGGATTGTTCTTTCCCTGCTACTTTGTTGGCTGCATGTGCTACTGCATTACAGGTACCTGAAGCTGCTGCTAGCCTGCATGGTGAAATGTTAGAGAGCACAGCTCCTGGGTGTCAGTCTGCAAATCCAGAGCCTGCCATCTCTGAAACTGGTAAAGTTTCCATTCTGTTCAATGACCCTAGCATTCAGGGAAATCTTTCAAAAGAGCTGAACACAAAATATTTACTAAACATAGCTCATAGACATAGTCTCTATACAAAGGCATGAAGCCTTCAACAAGCAGGACCCACATTATAGGAGAAAAGAAAGAAACACATTTTTTTTAAGTTGTTAATGGAACTTTATTTATTTGTATATGGTGCTGAGAATCCAACCCAGTGCCTCATGCATGCTAGGCAAACGCTCTACCACTGAGCCAGAACCCCAGCCCCAAGAAACACATTTTCATTCGCTTATCAAAAAAAAAAGTACAAAAAATACTGACATACAGGAAAACATAACTCATGAATGGAAAATAAAACATATGAAATTGACCATCCTTGAGTAAGATAAGACTCCAGAATCCCTGGGCTAAATTTCCTATTCATTTATTTGTTTATATTTTGTACCAAGGATTGAACCAAAGGTTGCTTAAAAAATAAGCCACATCGACTGCCCTATTTTAATTATTTCTATTTTGACAGAGGAATTCTCTAAGTAGTTCAGCACCTAAGTTGTTGAGGATACCTTTTAACTTGGGATCCTCCAGCCTAAGAGTCCTGAGCTGATGGGATCAAAGGGATATGCCACTGTGGTGGCCCTAGGCTAAACTTTCATTAAGTGTCTTGAATTATTAGTATGCATGCACCTAAAACAAAACCAAAATACATCAGGCAGAGACATACAAAAGTTCCCAGGACAATGAAGAATATACTGCTACATTTGGAGACATCACCACAACTCAGTCGGTCTGTGACCATGTAGCGGAGCAACAGACAGGAGGGCTTCACTGGACATTAGTCAACAGTGAAAAACACAGCCTTCTCAGAATCACAGTAAAACTCCCCAGAACATGCCCCATTCTGAGCCATAAACCTCACCTCAACAAGTGTGCAATGCAAGTGAAATCCCAAGTATGCTCAAAGAAGATGAAAGTTCAGAAATGACATCAGAAGCAGCTGGAAAACCACTAAGAAGTGGGAGATGCAACACAGGACTCTAAACAGACACAGGAGGAAGAGGTGACTAAGGGGCAAACTTGACCATGTTGAGAAAAATAAAATGTACGTGTCCAACATGGGAAAAAAGCATGGATGGTGCACTGGGGTCTCTGCAGCATCCAAAGCACATTCCAGAAAAGAAGAGATAAAAGCAACCATTGAACCTGGCATTTAAGGAAAGCAGAGAACGAAGAGCAAGGTAAGTGTAAATTAAGCACAGGCAGGAAACAGAGGGTGTTGGTGAAACCACAATCAAGAAATCAGCAGTCTGCAAAACCAAGTTCTTCATGAACATCAGCATTACTGACAAACTAATATGTGGCTAAGGAAACAGAGGACAGGAGTGAGGTTATGGCTCAGTGTAGAGTGCTTGCCTAGCACCAGTGAGTCAGTGGTTTCAATCCTTTCCACCACATCAAAGTAAATAAATATAACAAAGGTATGAGAAATACAATAACAATAAACAAATAAGAAAACCAAGGACAAAAAACTACACATTAGGATTAAAGTAGCCAGTGTTACCATCCATGGGCTCTTCAACAATATCATGAACATGTGCTTCACACAAATCTGATAACTTAGAGGAACTGGTCCAATAATTTGAGAGAGACCACCTTCTACAACTTACACAGAGAGACAAATACACAAAACACATGAGCCCTTGCCTACTGAAGAAAATGACTCAATAAGTAATCCCATCAAAAAAGTGAAAGGTATGGCTCTTAGAAATCATACAGGCTGACACACACACTCCAGAACAGCCACCAATTTTATATTTTTTTTCTAGAATGCAGAAACAGAGTAAACACTTTCTAATTTCTTTTGAGGCATATGCTACAATATTATCAAAATTATGAGGAAGCTATGAATTACTCCCATGATCATAAATGCAAAATACCTCCACAACATTATTCAACTGAATCAAAAAATAACTAAAAAGAACTATATACCAAGTCCAAGATGTTGAAAATAATGGAGGCTATGGGCTGCAGGGAGGTGTATGATACTACGTTTAATTGCTCACTTAAACTGTCACCTTGAGGGGCTAGGGATGTGGCTCAAGCGGTAGTGCGCTCGCCTGGCATGTGTGCGGCCCGGGCTCGATCCTCAGCACCACATACAAACAAAGATGTTGTGTCCGCCGAGAACTAAAAAATAAATATTAAAAAATTATCTCCTCTCTCTCTCTCTCTCTTTAAAAAAATAATTAAAAAAATAAACATAATATGCAGCACTGAGAACAAGATCCATCTTAAAAAAAAAACTGTCACCTTGATTAGATTAGGAGATATGGATGTTTAATAGGCTCCTGGGTATGTCCATGAGGGTGTGTCTAGGAGGGATTGGCATGTGAGATAGCAAAGTGGAGAAATAGGATCCTGGCTTGGATGGAATAAAAGTTGGAAGAACAAGGCAGCATCAGAGCAAGCTGGATTCTTCTCAAATGGCTCTTCCATTGCTGCTGTGATCACCTGAAAATATCAAAGTTCCCTTCTTCACTCTTTCAAAGCAGATTCTGCCAGGGATTCTCCAGGGAATTTCCAAAAGCACTGGATCACAGGCTAGGGTAGCACCATCAATCCCTCTTGTACTGAGCCTTCAGTATCTTGGACTGCACAGCTTCTACTTCTCTAGCTCTCAAGTCTGCAGATGACCCAGCTTCTGGTCATGTAACACAATCTAATAAATATCCCTTTTGTAATTATACTTCCTCTCAATTCCTTTCATCTAGAGAACACTAATATACTATATAAGCCTACATTTGCTCTAAGAAATGAACTTTATTTAATAAAGAAGTGCATTAACTACCACACTGTGGAATATTCATAAATATATACATGAGAAACAATATTATATGCTGAATATCTTGTCCATAATAATGCAAGAGTAAAGGAAACAGGAAGAGTTATGTATGCAAATATCAAAACCATAAAGAAAAGCAGGGAAACTTATTTTCAATACTGTTTCCTTTTAGAGATTAATGGGTGATTTATCTTTAAAAGTCACTATAACTCCTGGTGTAGTGGTGTGCACTTCAAATTTTAGTAATTAGGGAGGTCAGGGCCAGAAGATGACAACACTGAAGCCAGTCTCAGCAACATAGCAAAGTCATCAGAAATATAGTGAGACTTGCTCTTCATCAAGAATTAAAATGGGGGAAAGAGGCTGTCATTCAGTGAAAGAGCACATGACTAGCATGTGTGAGATACTTGGCTTGAAAATTAGAACTACAAAAAAAAAAAATCAGCAAAATTAGGTAATCTGTACATCTACTACTAAAACAAAATTTAAAATATATAAATAAACAGAAATAAAAAACACTGGGGATGTGCTCAATGGTCAAATGCCTCTGGGTTTAATCCCTAGAGAAACACCCACCCACCAAGAAAATGCTTTCACAAACTTGAAACTGTTTTTTGAAGGATAACAAGAATGAGCAAGTCCCTGGATTAAATCCCAGCACTCAATACATAAGTAAATAAATCAATGATAGTCCATTGTCTTGGGCTGGGGAGTAAGCAAGAGTAGAGCATTTGATAACCATGCATGAGGTCCTGGGTTCAATGTGAAGAAGACCACAAACACACACACTCTCACACCCACAAAGAAACTATACTAAAATACATCTCATGAATGACAAAAATGATTATTATAGAAAAGGTACAAATGAGAAGCATAAAATACAATAAAATCAATAGAAACACAATATGATTTCTTACCAAGTGGATTAAAGAGACTGAACTTCCCCATGATCTACAATCTCTGAAAAAAAACCCTGAGCATGCTGTGAAATCCAGGGCCAGATGTGCTGTGCTTTTTGGTGAAGTTAAGAGAAACTACTTCTGAAAATGGAAATACCAGACCATATCTAAAATTAGTCAAAATCCTGTATAGATCACAATGACTGTAGACAGAGTATTTATGTAACTCCCAAATTTCATAAGCTAACAGTCCAGCTCCCAAAGGGGTGGCCCAAGGACAAGGCACCTTTTTAAATACCTGTGACTGAACCCAGAGGCAGTTTACCACTGAAATACATCCCAGTCTTTGAAGTCTCACCAAGTTGTATAAAGTCTCCATAAGTTGGTAAAGCTGTCCTCAAACTTGAAATCCTCCTCCTGCCTCAGCCTCTGAAGCAACAAGAAGTTCAGGTGTGCACTACTGCAACTTGCCATAAATCGGGATTCTTAATAAATAGAAATGTATGTACTTTTCATAAATCTACTTCTTTCTTCCCTCTTTCATAATATTTCATCATTTGGTTTTGAATAAATAATCTTGGGCCTGAGATAAGTGAGCAGATCATTTCAAACTGACAAACGCAGAAATGGCTGATGCTGAGGGAGCAAACCTATTAGGCTCAAGGGTCAGGAAAGATCCCTGCCAGCTGGGACATTCTCACATCTGGTCATGCCCACTGAAACATTCCATGGTCACTCTCCCGGGAGACCTGGACCATGACTCCAGACTATGAGGCTTTTCAGGTTTGCACAGAACTGCATTGGGGTGTTTGGATTTTATCCTCTGTGAGTTTTTGCTCTTCCACACTGTGAGAGAATGCAAGGGTCAGGAATCACTGGTGACCTGGCCCCTCAGCACCAGCATCCACAGGCTGACTGGCCACCTGTCTCCAAGGAATGGGAACAGGGCTTGGGGAAAACAAGATCCTAAGAAGTTAGTTGTCTAGATGAAGCTTGTTCCAGGACACTCCTTAGCCCCAAGCCCACATCTGATCCCCCAAGAGGCTGTACCTCACACCTTAGGGTGTCCTCTAAGAAGAGCTGACTTAGGGCCTAAAATTCCTTGTACCATGCAGGGCACAGGACAGATGCGGGCACATGGTGGCAGCCCGAGGAAAGGATAGTGGCTGTGAATATAGGACTCTCTGAGGTGTCCAAAGAAAACCTGGCTGAGAAAATCAGATTTGGTGTCAATACCTAAAAAAGATAAACAAGAAGCACAAGATTTTCGCAGGTGTGAACTGAAGTTCTCTATGAACTTGCTCTGTATCAATGAACCTTCAGACCACTTGACTTTGGGGAACTAGACCACTATGAGGGTATAAGACAGGGTTCTGTATGGTTGGCACAAATTATCTTGGGCTCTCTTAAGCTCTTTCAAAGCCAATTACCTTAATTTCTGTATTAGTCCAAAATTCTCCAAACAAATGAACTTCTAAGAATATACTACTAACCTTACCCAACATATAACCACCATCTCCCAAAGCTAACAATGTAATAACAGACCTACAGAAGAAATTTCCCCCTTTTCACTGTAGCCACCCATCTGATGATCCTACCAATGCACTTGGTTAATGTATTCATACATAACTTTCTTTTACAAATGTTCTTGTCAGTCATGCACAGTGGGGCACAACTGTAATCCCAGCAGTTTGAGAGACTGGGTCAGGAGAACTGCTAAATTCGAAGCCAGCCTCAGTGACTTAGTGAGGCCCTAAGGAACTTAGGTGAGATCATGTATCAAAAGAAAATATAAAAATGGATGTGGATATGGCTCAGTGTTTCATTACCCCTTGGTTCAATCCCTGGTATAAAAAAAAAAAAAAAATGTAGTCTCTTCCAGAGTAGGATACATACATCATTCAGGATAAGTTAAATCCATGTTCATGAGGATGGTCATTAATATTTGTGTCAAAATAAACTATTTTTTTCAGGTACAATGGCCAGTGCCTTTAATTCCAACAGCTTGAGAAGCTGAGGCAGGAGGATCAGATATTCCAGGTGAGGCTGGACAACATAGCCAGATCCTGTCTGAAAATAAAATTTAAAAGGGTTGCGGATAAAGGGCAAGAGAATAAATCAGACATTATTATCCTATTTTCATAATGACAATATGACTGGTATGAATGGACATTAGGTACAACCAGAAAAAGGAGAAGTTACAGTCTATTTATATATGATGTGTCAAAATGCATTTTACTGCATTGTATAAGTAGTAAAAACCAAGTAAAATAAATAAATAACTTCTGCCAAAATCAACAAAACAAACAATCAAACAAAAAAAGGGCTGGGGATGTACACCAAGATTCAATATCCCTAGTACCAATAACCCACTGCCTTATTTCATTTAAAGCAGCTATTTACCCGAACACAAGATATGCCAAGACTATTCTTTCCCCTCAAGTATGATATTCAGAAACAAAACAAGAGTGTTATTCTTGCCAGAAATAGTGGCACAGGCCTGTAATCCCAGCGACTCAGGAGGCTGAGGCAGGATGATCACAAGTTGGAGGACAGTGTCTAAAACAAGTGGTAAAGGATCTATTTAAAAGGGGGAGGGGGGGGTTCCTGAGGATTTCACTGATAAACCTTCTCTAGTTTTGATCCCCAATACAAAGAGAAAATATTCCTTGCAATACTTCACTAGAGGAAAAGGGAAAACTAATAGACTGTTCATTTGAAACACAGAAAGAAAAACAGATATTTGAGAATGATGGGAAGTGGAGAGGAAGATGGCATTTTAGAAGCAGGAGGCAACTGCAAATGAAGGACCTACAACAGCCTTCGGAGAAACTAAACTGGGGGAAGGAAAGTGGATTTGCGATCCTGCTTCCTACACATTTGGAAGAGTGGGGGCGGGCCACCAGCAGGGAGGGGAGGGGAAGCTGGAGACCTGAGCAGCCCATTCAACAATGGAAGCCACTGGACGGAGCCCAAGGCCATCTACCAGCGAGAATTGGGCCTCATGCTCCACAGCTGAGGTCAGGGACCAGCCCACCCCTCAGGCCCAGGGAGCAGAAGCTCAGGGCCATACCCCACAGAGGACTAGACCACACCCTCTGCACCAATTTCTGGCACCCAACACCAACCTCACCCCGCGGACCAGTGGCAGAGGCTTAGGGTCAGTCACCAGGGAGGTGACTTCAAGTTTCTACCATCCAGCCCAACCCCCAGGACAAGGGGACAGAGACCCAGGGCAACCTCCAGAGGAGACTCCACCAGGCTCTGCAGCTCACCTGTTTGCAGGGCCCCAAGGCAGGTGCTGACCCTGTACCTCCAGCCCTGGACACAAACTCACCATTTTTGTCTTCCTTGGGGACCTGGAGTTCTCTTAGGAACCTCTGAGCATGAGAGATCTCAGAGACACAGGCTGCTCAGAATCACCTAGGCCTTTTGGGAAGAGCACATAGGGCCAGGAAAGGGAAGAGCTGAGTTGGTGAGGAAGAAAAGCCCAAGAGATTACAAAAGCCCACCCTTCCCCTGTGTTCAGAAACCTGATTGGACAATTCCACCCCAGCATCCCTAATGGGCTGCCTCCAGGAGCACCTCTGCATTGTGACTGACAGCTAAGGTTATGCAATCACTACCTAAAATTCCCTAGAGTGACAGATCCTTGGTCCCAGCCCTTTTCAGGTGGAGTGTCTTTTCTGGGCTGGAAAAAAATATCCAACTTAGAAGCCTTTGCTTGGAACTTGGTAAGGATGGGATTGACCTATGGCTTCGGAAGACTGCTTTCCCAGCATGGGTGATGCCCTGCATGTTAACTCCACCACAGAAACAAAGAACTATTAACAAAAGAAGGTACTTGGGGAGTCTGAGGCAGGAGGATCCCAAGGTTCAGGTCAGGATCTACAGTGTTACCCGTGTTTACTGTGACAGGTCCTTGCTTCCCCAAATGCTGAAGTATAACACCAGAGAAGCATGTGGAGAGTGGAAAGTGCAAGGCTTAATTAAGGGAGAGCAGAAAAGATTCACACCCACCCCCCAGGAGGAAGGGGACTGGAAAGGAGAAATCCCTGGAAAAGGGAGGTCTTCTCCCTTTTACATCTAAGGTCATCTTTTGTCCTCCCACATTCCTGTCCTTTATTTCTCTTTATTGTGCATGTGATGGGGGCTGCAGATGGAAGGCCAAAGGGTGGGAAACTGGTGGACTGGTGGGGCAGGGAGCAGAAACCTGGGCAGGAACAGCCTAAGGTGGTTTGATTAGCATCTCCCTGTTTTACTGGGAACTACTTCATTAACCCTTATTTAGGACCTCCCCAGGGTCATGGGACATTAATATTTCAATTTCTCAGCTGTTTTTCTGGTTTTCCCAGGCTCAGATTACACTCCATTTTCTTTATGGTTCCAGTTGGACCACAATAACCTAGCTACATAAATTCTTTTTAAATCTGGCTTCACAAACAGGGAGATCCTAGCTAAAAATTAATTAAAGAGGGTTGGGGATGTACCTGAGAGGTCAAGCCCCACAGGGATTATTCCACAGAACCTCAAAGAAAAAGATACCCATATACATATATAGTATCACCTGGTGCAACCTCAGGCCATAGTCTCAAAATTTTTGAAACAATATTTAAAGATATCACATATATCACACATATATGATATCTAAAAATAAAAACAGTTTGACAATTATTTCAGTAATTCTCATCACCTTCTGCCCACTGATCTTTTGAGGAGATAGCCTGAACTAAGAAAGGAAGCAATTGGTGTTGGTGATTTGGGTCAGTGCTCTCTCCCCAGCAGAATGGAGGGGGGGAGGGGGGGAGTCAATTCCCTAAGGCAGCAATGTGGGGTTGAAATAGAATGAGCACCTTGTGCTTAATGTCCATGTTCTACATTCCACTCTTAGGGAGTTCTAGGAAGCGACCTGACTCTGGTGATCCCACACATCAGGTCATCTGTTTACCCCAAATCCAAACAGAAAAGGTCATGATGAAAAGCAGGAAAGGAACTTTGATCAGTGAAGCTACCCCAGGAAGACAAGGGCACCATGTTCTTAGCCATCTCTTCAGGGGCTGTCTAGGACTCTCAGGTTTTATAGAAAGGGTAAACAGTCATAGGCATGTGTGTAGAGGGAAAACTGTATGTAGGCTTGGTGTCATCTGTGGCTTCAGGCATCTGTGGGTCTCATAAAATGTCTGTGAGCTCATGGTCACGTTTCCCCTTGACACACTTCACCCCATTGCACAGGCTGACCGGAATTGACCTCTCAGGAAGGGCCCCCCTCCCTTGTGTTCTTTCTTTATCAGTGGTTCAGAGGCACCAACATTTTCAAGAAAAGCCACAAGCCCACCTGCTCCTGCCTGGTAAGCACCATATCCCTAGATGCTGACCCAGGGCTCTCAGCTTCCTGGGTTCCAACTGATAGTTAAACCAGAAAGAAACAATACACACATATACCCATTAAAAAAGAAAAGAAAAAAACTGAAAATATATGTAATGAGTGACAAAAGATTATAATACAAAAGATACACAATGAGAGGCAAAAAATTCAATGGAAATTCTCCTTTCTTACAAAGGAGACTGAACTTTCCCATAATCTACACTCTTGGAAAAACAAAGAGCATTTCAAGAAATTATGTGAAATTCAGGGCATGGATTATTGTGGGTTTTTTTGGGAGAACTTAAGGAAAACTACATCTAAAATGAAAATAGTACACTGTATCTAAGACCAGAGAAAATATTGTACAGAACAGAGAGAGAGTAGAGAGAGCATTTATGTTACTCCCAAGTTTCATAAGCTAAAAGGCCAGCTCCCAAAGGGGTGGCCCTAAGAGGAGGCATTTAGGAGGTAACAGGAATCAGGTGACAAGGTGGGAGTGCTCATGAAGGGGATCAGCAACCTTACTTAGACATATATATCTCTCCTTTTCAGAAAACAGGTGTCATTTGTTATTTCACTGATAAAGTATACAGTGATTTTTAAATGATCACAGTTGGGTATTTTAGGTATTGCCAAAATTGTCCTTAAAACATCCAATGAAGATGGGTGTGATGGTGCACACCTGTAACCCCAGCAGTTCAGGGGGGTCAGAAGCCCAAGATGATGTAGCAAGACCCTGACTCAAAAGAAAGAATCTAAAAGGGGCCAGGGATGTGGCTCAGTGCCTAAGCACCTTTGGGTTCCATTCCTGATACCAAAAAACCACACAGCTAACATGAACCTGCCAAGTCCAGACAACAACAGCAACAACAAACTGTCATCCCCTGTCAAATTCATCACCTTGTGAAAGACTGTAACTAGTTTACATAAAATCACATTCATAAGTTTATCCACTGCAATTTTTGTAGAAATGAATTCATTTTCTGCAGCAATAATGGTAGACAGAATTTCTCTGTATCTTAAGTGGCATTCCAGAATCTAGGACATGGATTTCAATTGGAAATCATTGAAAAGACAAGATCAAATCTCACCAATTTTCTATGCATACTCAGGGGTAGCAAAAAGTAAATTAGATGTTTTGTTTGTTTATTTGTTTGTTTTTCTGTTCTGTTCTTTTTCTTTGGTTTGGGACCAGAGATTAAACCCAGAGGAACTTTACTAATGAGTCACATCCCAAGACATAAGGTCTGGCTAAATTGCTAAAGCTGTCCTCAAGTTTGCAATCCTCCTGTCTCTGCCTCTGGAACAGCAAGGATCACAGGTGTGCACCACTGTACATGGCTGTAAGTTAGAATTTTTAACAATGAAAATGTAACTATACTATTTTTTTTGAGAGAGAGAGAGAGAATTTTTTAATATTTATTTTTCAGTTTTCAGTGGACACAACATCTTCATTTTATTTTTATGTGGTGCCAAGGATCAAACCCAGTGCCCCATGCATGCCAGGCGAGTGTGTTACCCTGGAGCCACATCCCCAGCCCAAAAATGTAACTAGACTTTTTAAAATCCACTTCTTTCCTGCCTCTTTAATAATAGTCCATCCCATTTGGCTCTGAATAAATAAACCTGGGCCTCAGATAAGTGAGCACATCATTCAAAGTGATACACAGAAAGCTTTGGTGCTGAGGGAGCACACATGTGTCAGGCTCAAGGGGCAGGGAAGGTCCCTGTAGCTGGGACATGCTCCCTCCTGGTCTTGCTCCCTGAAAGCCTCTAGGATCACCCTCCCAGGGACCTGGATCATGACTCCAGTCTATGAGGCTTTTCAGGTTTGCACAGCTCTGCACTGGGGTGGGTGGTGCTTAGGCTCTGGGAGAGGTTTTGCTCCTTCACACTGTGAGAGACTAAAATGGCAGGAGTCACTGTTGACCTGGCCCCTCAGCTCCAGCATCCACAGGCTGACTGTCTACCTGTCTCTAAGGAACAGAGCTTGGGGTAAACAAGGTCCCAAGGAAGTAGCTGTCTAGATGAGGCCTGTTCCAGGAGATTCCTCAGCCCAGGGTCCCCAGCAGCTTCCCTGAGAGGCTGCACCCCACA